GACTGACTGACTGACTGACTGACTGACTGACTGACTGACTGACTGACTGACTGACTGACTGACTGACTGACTGACATGGTGGTCTTCATGCTCCACACGCGCTCTCACCTGTCTCACAGACAGTCGTCAGAATCAGATATAGCCCGCTAAAACCTATGCTTTTAGAAAATAATTAGATTCAGTCCGCTTATAGACAAGTCATGTTGGGTGGTTGGCGGGTGCTCTGGTGTGGTTTGCTTCTTCTTTCCTATCAAACATTTATCGTCCTTATCTCCCCTTCTTCTATTTTATGTTTGTTGCTCCCTTGTAACACCTTTAATCTTCTGGCGCTCATATGACCTTATGCGCCGCAAAACCTCTACTAAAAAATAAAAAAATTATTTTTTTTAAAGTCAAATTTAGTCCGCTAAAACTAATGCTTATAGACATTCATTATATCCAGTCCGCTTATAGACAAGTTACCAATTCGACTTGCTTATAGACAAGTCATTATATCAGGTCCGCTTATAGACATGTCATTATATCAGGTCCGCTTATAGACATGTCATTATATCAGGTCCGCTTATAGACATGTCATTAGATTCAGCCCGCTTATAGACACGTTACCATTTCAAATCAACCCGCTTATAGACAAGTCATTAATCCAGCCATTTTATAGACGAATCCAAGCATAAATGATAATGACCCCTGCTCCGGCTGACCCGTGCCTCCTGTGTGCTGTGTGTGTGAGTGAGTGAGTGAGTTAGTGAGTGAGTGAGAGAGTGAGTCGACAGACAGACAGACGGGCTTTAAAACTTGTGGCCTGCTGTACACGACGTGTGCGCCTTGTATGCTCACGGACTTGGAATAAAACAACAGCAACAGCAACAACTACTGCTACAATTAGATCTACTACTACAGCACCAACAACAATTGCAACAACTGCTGCAACAAAAGTGCAACAATAACAACTACTACTACGACAACAACTACTACGACAACAAAAAGTGCAACAGCAACTACTGCGACAGCAACAACGACAACTGCTGCAACAAAAAGTGCAACAATAACAACTACTACGACAGCAACTACAGCGACAGCAACTGCAACAACAACAACTACTACAACAAAAAGTGCAACAACAACTGCGAAAACAACTACTGCTACTCCAACTACAACAACTGCTACAACAAAAAGTGCAACTCCAACAACAACAACTACTACAGCACCAACAACAACTACTACTACGACAGCAACAACAACAGCCTAATGAGGTCTGTCTTGTGTTCTTTCGCGATAATAGACGCTAAAAAATAGACGCTAAATTTCGGGTATCTGTCGAAAAGTTCTTTCGCGAAAATAGCCGCGCTAAATTTCGGATACCTGTGTAATATTCTTTCGCGATAATAGACCCAAACTTTCGAATGACTGTCTTATATTCTTTCTTGAAAAGAGACGCGAAATTTCGGATGCCTGTGTAATATTCTTTTGCGAAAATGGAAGTTAAATTTCGGATGTCGGTCTTATGTTCTTTTGCGAAACTAACCACTAAACTTCGAATGACTGTTGGAATGTTCTTTTGCGATAATAGACGCTAAATTTCGGATGACTGTCTTGTGTTCTTTTGCGAAACTAGACGCTAAATTTCGGATTATTACGTCATACGTGGAGACTCTATTCTGCCCCGGCGAGGGCACTACTTTCACTACGTACACTCCCTCTTAGATGACCTAAATCTTCTCGATGAAGATGTAACACACAGCCTTTGCTGAGTGGGTGGTTGGCGGGTGCTCTGGTGTGGTTTGCTCCTTCTTTTCTATCAAACATCTATCGTCCTTATCTCCCCTTCTTCTTTTTTGTGTTTGTTACTCTCTTGTAACACCTCTAATCTTCTGGCGCTCATATGACCTTATGCAGTTGCGAGCGCCGTAAAACCTCTACTTAAAAGAAAAAAAAGGCTTTGCTGTTCAGTTGAACTGGGATGTGGTGTTTGTGATATTTTAAATGGTGTGTGGGACATTTCGAATATTGTGAGTCACATAAGGAATAATATATTACAATAAATATTGCATTTGACATAACAAATATATTACAACTAATATTGTATGTGACATTACTAATATTGTATGTGACGTAACAAATTTATTACAATAAATACAAATATATTACAATAAGGAGTGTATTTGACATTACTAATATATTACAATAAATAGTGTGTGTGACATTACAAATATATAAATATATCACAATAAATAGTGTGTGTGACATAAGATATACACGTAATGTATGTGACATAACAAATGTATTACAATAAATATGGTATTTGACATATTTGACATTACTAATATAATATTACAATAAACAGTGTGTGTGACATTACAAATTTATTACAATAAATAGTGTATCTGGCTTAGCAAATTTATTACAATAAATAGTGTATCTGGCTTAGCAAATTTATTACTATAAATAGTGTATGTTGTATAACACATATATAAAATATAATATTTATGTGACATTACAAATATATTACTATAAATTGTATGTGACGTTACATATTTATTACTATATTGCTTGTGGCATAACACACATATTACAATAAATATTAAATGCATTTGACATAACAAATATATTACCAGTGTATGTGGCATAACAAATATATTACAGTAACTATTTTTATCATATTACATAATATTACGTAATGTTAGTGGACAGGAGTGACAGACTCGTAGTTCAGATAGATATTGGCCTTTTATGATAGAAAAACTGCAAGTTTCTCTTTTTATTTGTCTGTTTACTTATTTAGTTATGTATTTATCTGCTTGTTTTTTGGTGTTTAATGTATGGCATGCATTTTTAAAAATTATTATCTTTATTAATAATAATAGTAGTAGTAGTAGTA